ATACATATAGGTTGCTGGGAAGGGGCGAAAGTCGGCGGATGAAACGCGCTCTCGCCGATATAAAGGAGCCACGATCGTGGGCTAATGCAAATTAGCATAAATTTCGTTGTATCATTCGTTAGTATTTAGAGATTGCCTTCACTCTATTTTCCTAGTAGACCACTTTCACAGTAACGCGAGAGAGCCGCATTCTCAACAGTCACGCGATAATCGGCACTTCCAATTTAATTCTTTAAGTTCGTGAATTAGGGACCGTTCATTAGGGACCGTTTCATTAAAAAGTTGCATGACCCCCCCTCAGTCGTTTAATTTTTTCCATGACTCCCCTCCCCCTCCATACAGGTAAATTTTTTCGGTGACCTCCAAAAAAAATTGTCAATTAAACCAGATATACATACTGTAGAGTAACACAGTATCTTTTTGGCTTTATCAAGGTATTACGATTCACAGTACAATTGTATCTGTCACTTTTAACTGTACTAGGCTATAAAGTCAGCAAAAAAAGAAATGTGCCAGCTTGCTCTGAATTCGTTGAAGAATAAAAAAAAAGAAAAATCCGTCAATCTTTGATCTTCTGGTTATGGCTCTTCCCGAACGTGTTGTGGCTGGCCTCTCAACTTCTTCATAATCGATGAAGGCAAGAATGACATCACTTGATTGGTCTCTATCACCAGAGTCAATGTAATCATTTTCATTCTCCTCATCACTGCTACTTCCGCTTCCGGTCCACAGGTGTCGTCTTCTACGCTACCGTCGCTATCACTATCTAGCAAAGGCTCATTTTCAGCTTCGTCTCTTTCTCCCATTCTTTTTTGTAGTATATCAGTTCCTTCAGGATTCATTTGGAGAAGCCAGTGTCTGGTAATTACCTTAACCTTGTCATTTTTGGTGCTCTTCAGGTACTTGTCTAGTCTATGGTGTTTGAGGTATTTGTTTAGCTCTAGCACTCGGAGCTTTTTTAGTTTTGTCCGATCGTCGCACAAATCTTTCCAAGCATAATCTTCATAATTTTTCTCCTTCGCCTTCTGGCTTTCCTTTGCCCTCTTCTCAGCCCTCTTCTTCTATTTGAAATCAACCATATCGAGATGCGTCAGGTATTCAACGACAAACTTTGGCTTAACAATATTAATAAACTTGTCAGAAAATGCTGCTACGCTTTCTGAATCTGACCACAAAACTAGCCTGCCACTGCCATGCTCCTTCTTCAACTATACTCTGGACTACCAATCGTCTACATTACGGCCCTCCCTTGGAGTGTTGTTGTATGATAGGTAACGTTAGAAGAAAACCGTCAAGAAAAATTTCCACACTGTGTTAAAAACCCGCTAGGCAATGATCTTGAAGAATGTCTTCTGTATCCACCTTCCCTGGCCATCCCCGAAGAGTGCGTCAACTTGTCGAAGATATTGCAGAATCTCTATTTAGACAAGATGCGCCATATATTGCACAGCTGTTGCAATCAACTTCAGCAATGCGGCAGGAAGCAGAATAATCACAATCCTCAAGCCAGAGGTTAGGGATAAAGTGTACTGACTGCATCCTGTATCCTGAAGACTACGCTCTGCCTGAAAGGAACGAAAACGACTCCCACAGCAGCACAAGCGACGAGGAAGAACTCGAAGAAGATTAGCAGGGAGAATCAATGTTTGAAAAGTACCTTTATTTCTTCAAGATAGTTTACAGGCCTTTATAGTAGATTGTAGGTAGCTTTGGCTATTCTGGTGGAGTAACTGCTATTCTAACTGTATTGTATTAAATAACCTTTAAAGGATAAATGAAAAAAAAGATTAAAAAATCCAGCGATACAGAGATGAAAATGAAGTAAAGATAAAGATAGAAACCTTGTTTTTGTTCATTAACTTCCTTAGCTTTAAAATTGCAGTCTGCAGCCGCGGAAACGTTATCATGAAAAGCAGAAGGGAATTCTTTAATGGATTTAAAAACCTTCTTATTTGTTTCTGTGGGGATATATTTTTTAAGAATAGTAAAACATATCCCATCTTGAGGCATTATTAAAATATTTTACGTGACCCCCCTTTTGCCTTATTTTTTTTTTAGATGGCCCCCCCTTTAAGGCGGTTTTTATTTTTTGGTGACCCCCCTCTCCCAAATCCCACCAGCTCCCCTTACTTTGTAAAAAACGAACGATCCCTTATGTTAATTTACTCGTCTCGCATTTTGGTTATTCAGGTTTATTGCACAAGAGGTGCAGTGTGCACGAAGTTTTTCATGCAATTTGTTCTTAATAGGAATTTTCTAGGTTTTCTTTCACCGTACTGAAGAAGAAGGTCATTTCGACCGGGACGTAACCATATGCACGACAAAAATAATATCTCGTGCAAAACCGCTTCACCCCACCACGCTAACAATGCAAAGTTTCAAAGAGACTGGGCTTAGTAACCAGCACATGGGCACCATGACTGCACTTCGTTATTTTCAATGAATCGGGGAATGGACCGAAGGAATCTATTCTGTACCTGGGCTGTAAAATGCCGCCTAGTGTATCATTCCTATCTGTGATGGCTCGAGAATCGAAAGGTGCCTTCAAATGGATTCCTCGTAAAATCAGGAGATCGATTCTTGTCGTTTTTATCGTAGTTCTGTTTGTCGTGACCGCCAAATATCTCTTCGGAAAAGGTAAGCGATTAGTAAACCACCTGATTATGTTGAGAATTTAGCAAACAACCGTAGCTGAGAGATCTATTTAAGATTATCGACAATCCTTTTTAATATTATCTAAGTTGCAGATTCGCGCGGCGTGACAATATAAGATAGGCAACACGTAGTACCCTAATTTGCATGTAGGGTACACAACAAACACAAACAAATTCAGGAAATTCGAAGTTTTATCCTTTTTTTCACAAAATATCATTTAAAAATATAAAGCGAGACTAAAGTAGAAGAGGTAGGGAAAGTCAAGGATTATGTACCAATTTCGTTTCCGATCGAGACAACGTCGAGAGACGTTTAAAGTCGATAATGCTTTCGTAAGGCTTTTTTTCGTTGTTTCTGGCCTTTGTTTCATTTTTTTCCTCCCTTCTGCAATACCACAAAGTCCTCACAGAAATTTTTACTGTTTTCAGAACTTACAATCTCTTTATTTCAGGGGTGGTAAGGGTTACCTTGCAAAGCTGAGGGTCTTGCAAAATGTTTATCATGCGCTTTCGAAACATCATCTGTGTTTATTTGCGATAATTATAGTCTCTTAGTCTCTCATTTCTCTTTAAAATCCTCGAAGTTTGAAAGTTGTTACTCAAGCTGAAGCCTTGCAGTAGTATGATGGAAGGAACGCTAAGAATATTAAGAGGTGTATGGCTAAAAAAATTTGAAATTTTTGGAGAAGTGTCGGCGTCAAAATATTCTCACAATTTTTCCAGAGTACATGGAGACTCCATTCAAAGATAAAATCGCGACGTATTCATAAATGAGAAATAATGTGTTTTTCCAAGAATCCCGCCTCTTCAAAGAGATCTCTACTTTGAAGCCTTTTCTATTTTGAAGTTAAAACCGTTCTCGTGCAGACGGAAACAAAATGTGCCTACTCATCACGTAGGTCACGCTATTTGAATTTCGAAGGGGTTGCTTCATGCAGTGAAAGGCTATTTAAACCAGAAACCGAAAGTTGTTGTTGATTAGGATACATATAACGTCAAAAAATTTATGTAAACCAAATTTCTACTAACAAGCAAGAAATTTTATTTTATAATTAGTTTACTCATCTCCTATTTCACATCTGCATTGCCCCTAATATGTAGTAATTATTGTTGAGTCATGTTCTCTGCTTATAAATCAGATGCTGCTTCTTAATGTTTAAAATTTTTTTTCTCTCTACTTTGTGTTTGCTATACTTGTTCTTTTGAGTGGCATCAGCTGCTGTGCTAGCTACTACCAATGGTGTCAAGTGGGCATCTGGTGTAGTGAAACGTTTTGTCAAATTCAGTGGGTCTCCAAGTCTCAATAATTGTCTTAGCTGTTGTCACCCACTTTCAGGCTTTTTAGATGTCTGTGAGCAAAGGGAAAAGGGGAAGGGGTAATAAGCTTAGGAGAGTTGAGGCTAGATCGGTATGGAAGATGGGAAGAATGCACAGGATGTGAGCTTTCAACACAGGCATATTTTGTGGCCAGATGATATTCTCAATATTCGGAATGATCAAGAAAATCCTACCGCAGGGACAAGAGTGTACTTGGGACACTCAACCCCCCTTCTTGTGAAGAATTTTTAGGTAATTAACCTGATATGGCAGCTAGAACAATTAATTAGAATATTTAGTACTCATTGGCCTGCCTGCTATGTCATACAGGCTGGCAAGAGGGCACTAAGTGGTAGATAAGTTCAGAAATATGCCACTATGACTTGTCAAAATTGAAAGTTTGACAGACAGTATGGTATAGGGGGAGATTGTTAGTCAGTAGCCCTTGCGCAAGCTCTCCTTGTGGCTAGCACCTCAATGCTTAAACCAACAGAATACTCATCCACTAGTCCCCAACCACTTTGTTGAGGAAGTGTTCCAGTGATAGGCAGACTCAGATTACATGACATTTAGGACATTACATTCAGCAAAAAACATTCAATAGGCTTGTGACTCATAGGAATTTCTCTGTTATGTTCCATTGTTTCCAAGTCAAATGCAGAACACTTAATCAATTTTAAATCTACCAATTACCAGTACAAAAGATTAAGAGGGACTGGATTGTAAAACTAATGGCAAATCCAATATTTTGCTCATAATTGTTCTTTGTATGTGGGTCTATTATTGCTTTTTTTTTTTTTTCTTGGGTAGAGAGGCAAAAATCAGAGTACTGGTGAAAGTTCTGTTGAACACAGTCACTAAATTGATCCTCCTAGGGTGCTCATTTGACAATTATTTAATCAAGGCCATATTGGTGCCTTATTAGGTGAGGGCTCTCATCACTTACACACCACAGAATAGGTCTTTTGCAGCTGGGGTCACGTGATCAATTTTAGATATATATATTATCGGATACAACTTGAAGAATACCAGAGATGGAAAGAGCATATTGAAAATACCAAAACGGCCAAGTTTGGGCCCCGGGAATTACAGAGCACTGTTTTTACAGCGGTTTGAACTTTCGGAAAATTTAGAGGATTTGTATGGAAAATGTTGCTGGAGAGCAAGGCCTTGCTCTCCAGCAACTTTTTCCATATAAACCTTCTTATTTATTAAAAAATTCAGAGTGTCATCAAATCTCATTTTTGAATAATGGAGGCCTCAAACTTTGCCATTTTGTTATTTTCGAAATGCTTTTTCCTTTTCTGAATTCGGCTAAGTTATAACCCATAATTTCATGAAAAGTAGGTCACGTGATGGCTTAGCTGCAAAAGGCCTATTGCAATTTACAGTGAAAACTCCTTGCTTAAAAATTACCGCAATGCTATTCAGATAAACTAATAGATTGTATTAATGTGGATGTGTGTATGTTTACAATTTACTGAGTACACATAAATTGCAATTAGTAAGCCCAAAAATTATTACAATTTTTCAGAGCTGATGTCAGCATGATGTCAAAAACATCTATATACTGTGACATGAATGCAGTTGTATTGAACTGGACCCAGTAACTCCTCAGATGAACTGCTAGAATATTTGAATGTGTTTTACAAAACATACCAATTGTTGTCGAGCCACTATATTTCCACCCACAACAGGGTACGTTGTTCCTAAAACTGTTGCTGTTAATGGAGAGTACCCAATGTATTTTCTGTAGTCTTGTAATCTTTTATCGTTCTGTGAATATTTTCTAAAGTTTATTGCAACCGTTCTTACAGGCACGCAACACGTGCATGCAGCCGTATCAGCAGAATTTCTATGATCGTCATCACGATAAGCATTTTGAGAAGTGTAAATGTAAATTTTCATTTTTATGTTTACCCCGCTTTGTCTGGGATGAAGGTTGTACAAATTTCCCCAATGTCAAATTCTGAAGCGGTGGGTTAACTCCATTGATTAGTCACAAAGATTTTTGTTTCGCGTTACAAGGCATCATCATTACGGCAAGCCAAGCGTGACAGGTAATTAATGCATCCACGATAAATGGACAGATGTGTCCGTGAAATGTGATCTGCCCCATTATTGTATTTCTTTGTTCGGACCTGTGCAGCTCGAGGGAAAGCTAAATTGGCCAAAAGAAAAGATGACGTTTGTTTTGTTGTTCTTCATGAGTGGTTTTCTGCATGTGGCTGCAGGTTAGTGAGGCTGCTAATGCAGTTTCATCCATTTCTAGCTGCCCGTAACTACTCCTGACGTATCGTTTTGTCCCGATATGCTATTTAGGATTGACTGTAGCGCTAGCTAAAGATACTGCTCAGCAAACACAAATTGGACGGAGAATCAAAACCTTTCCTCTGTGATTATTTTGTGCATTTTCAGATAGGCTTCACTGTAAGAAATCCTGCCAGCAATTTGCATTTTACTGAATTATTTGGTGATCCAAGTCAGTGTACTGTCTCAGCTCGTATATGAGTTTCTCGATGATTTTGTTAGGACATCTGACCGCAAAGTGGATCTAGTTTAGCTCTAAATTTTATTGGGATTTCAGATGTTGTCTAATTCTTTGTTGGTGCATTTCGAAATTGCTACACACCTCGAATTTCTAAACACACTTCCACACGTCAGTGAAGCGGTCACTTAGATCGATGCTTGATTGCTTGGTAATCTACGGTTTTCCCAAACATCATGCCACAAAGGACAACTGATAAATCTTATGTGTAATTGAACTGGTTAGTGCTTATTCGAATTTGTTCGCTTATCCGAAATGTTTCAGTTCTTCTGCGCAGTTTTCTTTTGATTTCGGTTTCGTTTCGTTAAAGCCGTAAGTCGGAAGAGTCAAATATTTGCACATTCCAGAGTGTGATGTGATAGGAATAAATCCTGAACGTTCCGGTTCTAACCATTAATTTCAATTTTTCTTTGTCCTGCTATATTAAGACTAGTGAGAAAATCATGTATTCTTCGTTTTATCATAATTCTGACAAGAGAAATTCAGAGCAATTGTTTCCAATCTCGTCTGTTGGTAATCATTGTTTTCCTTGTTATAGATTATTGCGTAATGTTCTCGGTCATTCTTAAATCACGAAGCGTGACGATCGATTTTACAAAGTTTCAGTTCATGTTGTGGTCATTGATGTAAGTTCGAGGTGATACCAATCTTCGGAATTCGTGTCCGATAATTTCCTCCATTAATGGCGGGAGTCTACCTTCAAATGTTAGCAGTTCGGCGTGTTTAGTAAAGAAAATCTCTTTGCCAGTAAATTGCTACATTTACCAACGCCAATGGGTAATTCTAAATTTTTGGTTAAGATTAATTTCCAAGACATCGTTTTCTATTACTGTCAAGTCGCTATTTTTTGCACCCCTCAAATCAACCTCGCGTTCTCACGTGATGGACCTAACCAATAGCGGGACTACGAAGGAGACTACCCCAACCCACCCTTCCCTTACGCGCAATTTTTGCCTGTTTTTTTTGTTTTTATTGTTTGTTTTTTTTTTTTCGGAGCTCTTATCGCTTGAATCGCCATACATGGGTTCTTTTAAATGTTACAAAGTCTTAGGAATGCTGGAAATTGCTAGGCAAGTATGATGAATACATTAAATATTTTTACCTGCTGTGACTGTTGCCTTTTTCATTTTTTGATTGTAAGGCTCTGCCCAATATGAACTCAATCAACTGGCTTCAAATATGGAAATAAGGTACGAAGTGCTGAATAACCTAATCAAGGTTCCAAATGGATCAACTCCCGTATTCCTGGCACAAATAACTATTGCTAACAAAGGGAGTACTGCCATTGAACACGGCAATTGGTCTGTGTATTTCTGTAGTATTCGCATGCTGGAATCACGGTATTTGAAGCATAACCCCTCGGGGTATGTAATCCCAGGGAACAGTGGAATCAGATTTACCCATATCGACGGGTGCCTCGTCAAATTCGAGACAACGAGCGACTTCAAAGAGATAGCAGCCGGCGATTCTCTTACATTCAAATTCAAGGCAAATGCTTGGTCTGTTGCGCGCACTGACGTCATGCCAAGATGGTTCATAACCGCTGAAGGTTTGAGCCCGCGTGTTATTAAGAACACAAACGACGAAGAGCTGAAGTTTGTGGGGAACTTTGACACCAAAGAAAAATGGAAGCGTTCTACTAAAGACATATACAATCCTTACACGCCTGAGCAGCGTTACAAAAAAGACTTTGTTTCGGATTTAATGGGTGCCACTTATGACGTCATTCCAACCCCTGTCTCGGTCACACTGGATGAAGAGAGTGGTGTAAAAATTACGTCGCAGTGGACAGTTTACATCCAGGCAGGACTCGAGAATGAAGCTGCCCCTCTTGAAGGTATGTCATACAGGGTTCGCACGGAGTCTTAGATTCTTAAGAAGGTAAGGTAATCTCGAACTGTTTGTCAAGACATGGAATTACTGAGGTGAAATTTAGGGCGGTGGTTCGTCATTTTTTCCCAGGCTGTAATAAGTACCAAAGTGGTTGACGAGGGTTTCTTTCGGCAAAGCCGAATTCCATTAACTACTTCGGCTATAAAGGGGTTTCTCAGTCAGTGTGATCGTAACATTTTACGTTTTTCCTCAGCAACCGCTAATGCAGTTTTATGATTTGGCTCTTGTCCTCGAGTCTGAGAAGTAAAATAAAAGAGCCTTGAATTTTACATCCAGAAATGTTATTGTACAACCTATTTCCTTCCTACTCCCCCTCCCCCTCTTCCTCCCCTTCCTTAATGTGGTGGTACAGATGCAGATGGAGTAGTGGGTTGCAGGGTTGACCTTAGATATATAGTTTTTCTTATTTTACATAAAGATCTTAAGATGTTAGGATAATCATAATTTTGATTTGTGTTGCTTGACTGCCATTTTATTTTGAAACACTTGGCGGTTGTCAGGACCCTTCTCATGATTTTCCTCCACCATTTGTTTAGGCTCGATTTCCGCCGCTCTCTGAAGTCCAGTCTTTTTCGTTCCTTCCCGCGAAGAGGAGGACGGAAGGAGGAGCGCGGGCTCCGATTTCCGAACAGCGACTGGAAATTGAGCTTACAACTTGATATGTTCGTTACATATTTACATGAAAATGTTCATTGGCGTAACAAGAGCAAGCCATTCAATCCTTGTATTGCTCAACTTTCAAGAATCTGTCGTAGCAGTATTCTATAAATTAGAGGAACAAGATAAAGTAAAAACCTTTTTGAAATGTCAATCCTTTTTATGTTTGTTTGTTTGTTTGTTTTTCTAGACAAGCTCGGTCTCAAGGTCTCGACTTCTACACCAAAAGACACTAAAGCTATAAAGCTCCTCAAAGGAGATATTTCTGTGCCTGCAAAAGACAGTCAGCAGTTTCCAAGCCCAGATGAGTCCTATAGTCTCGAAGTAGACTCTTCCAAGGAACTCATCACTATCACAGGCAAGGGCTCAGCGGGTGTGTTCTATGGCGTACAGACCCTTTTGGCCTTAAGGAACTCTGAAGGCAGGGTCCCTAAAGCGTCCATTAAGGATGCACCAAGGTATTCTTATCGTGGTTTACACCTGGATGTGGGCCGTAATTTTGTAGCTAAGGATCACGTGTTCAAGTTATTAGACACCATGGCGATGTACAAGCTAAACAAGTTTCATTTCCATCTCACTGATGACGAAGGGTGGAGACTGGAGATTCCGGAAATCCCAGAACTTACAGAGGTGAAAGATAAATGTGCAATGAGTCTTTTAGTGCCAACCTACTTTCTCACACCTATTTGAATTTGGGTTAGAGGGAAGGGGGGCGGGGTTTTAGTGGGGTTTAAGCGGGGTTTAAGCATATCTTGTAATCTCGAGTATTGACCGAGTCACTAGGGGGTCATTACTTTGGCAAGACAATGCACTGTCATAGATCCCCTCTCCGCCCTGGAGGTTAAAGTAGTCCTGGCAAATCGTCTGTTCGAGAAGCCCTGGATACTACATGCCAGGTGATAAACCTGTGATGTATCCGTATTCCATTTAGGTGGAGTTCTAACACTCTTGGCGGCTTAGAATAACTTCCTCGTTTAAGATACCCCCTAGAATTTTCTAACAATCTCAATACTCATTTAATGAATTCTTTGTTTATTTCGCTGAAAAAGTCCACTGTATGTGAGAATAACTGCAATGGCCAATAAACCAATTAAAAACCAAAATTGAAATCTACCTCAGCTAGTTTTTGTTAAACTGTTTGTGTTTATTTTTTTTTTTCAGGTGGGAAGTAAACGTTGTTTTGATTTGAAAGGTACCCGGTGCATCTTACCACAACTCGGCTCAGGCCCTAACCCGTCTAATTCGGGATCAGGCCACTACACGGTCAACGACTACAAGCAGATACTTAGATATGCAAAAGCTCGTCATATCCAGGTCATCCCCGAATTCGATATGCCAGGTCACGGAAATGCCGCCATTAAAGCAATGGAGGCACGATATCACAAATTATTAGCCCAGGGAGATAAGGCAGGAGCCGAAAAATATCTCCTGTACGATATGAATGACACATCGCAATATCTTTCCATTCAACATTATACAGGCGACGCCATTAATCCTTGTATGGAGTCAACGTACACTTTTGTATCCGATCTAGTTAAAGCTGTCGTTGGCTTTCACAAAGATACACAACCGCTGACCATATTCCATTTTGGAGGAGACGAGGTAGCTCGCGGTGCATGGACCAATTCCACCGAGTGTGAAAAACTTGTGCAGAGCCTGGGACTCAACAAATCTGGAGATGATATCGTGGAAAAATTGAAAGAATATTTTGTTCAGCGCGTCTCTAATATAACTGCCGATCACAACCTTGATCTTGCGGGATGGGAAGATGGCCTGATGAGCCATCTAAATGATCCATATGCCAGGAGGTTGATAAAGAATAATCGAGTGTATGGCTACACATGGAACAATGTTTGGGAGTGGGGAAGTGGTAAACGAGCTTATGTACTAGCAAACGCTGGTTATCAGGTAATGTTATTTGCTGTGAAAGTAGTCGAGTACAGTGCACAAGGGAAAATCTAGGTTGGAATAGGGACGGCTCCAAAATTGCTTCTCGACCAAACCATGTTCGCCAAGCCATGTCATTCCTTTATTCGTGTTAACTGAACACACACAGAAAATCAGCCAGTTGAGTAGTAACTGTTCGAAGCTCGTCAAAAACCTTTAAGGATATCAAAAAAGATAATATAGTGGATAACAAATCTGAACTCCAAACAATTTTGCAACTCTCTCTCTCTCGCCTGCTAGAAGCCAAACTATCCGTCTTTAACTTAAAATGAATTTTATCCGTGGAATTGATCTTTTCCTTAAACCAAAGCAAGAGAGAAACCGAAATTTTCTTAATAACACTTCTATGTGCAACTATTGATTATCCAATTTTTTAGGTGATTATGTCCCAGGCCACTCACTTGTATTTTGACCACCCTTACGAACCTGACCCGGAGGAGCGTGGATTCTACTGGGCGACACGCTTCACTGATACTCAAAAAACGTTTGGTTTTCTTCCGGATGACCTGTATGGGAATATAGAAACTAAGAGAAGCGGTGAACCGCTGACTAAAGCGAAAGTATGTGAGAATGCTGAAGATGAGAATGCTGACAATTGCCCTGACTTGAAGAAGAAAGAAAATATTGTAGGTAAGTTTGAACTTTTAAGATTCGTCCCGATATTTGAAGAGTTTCAATAACAAACGAGCAAATATTGCTCTAGATTTATTTGACTTTACACATCGTGGATCTGTCTTTGTTGTTTTTGGTATCAATTTAGGAATGCAAGGCCATCTGTGGACAGAAACAGTAAGAACCTCTGACCAAATGTACTCCATGATCTTCCCTCGTTTGTTGGCACTAGCGGAACGTGCTTGGCATAAAGCATCATGGGAAAGGATCACTAACAAAAAAGAGAGAGACGCCAAAAGGAAGGAAGACTGGAAAGTGTTTGCAAACAAAGTCGGGTACAGTGAACTGGGTCGACTAGACAAGATGGGTGTTGTTTATCACCTGAAACCGCCTGGAGTACGGTGAGTACACGAACTGTTCTTAAATATATTTTAAAGGTACCAGCTGTTAGAGGTCCAATCGTCATCTTTGTGTTTTATTTTGATTGGAAGCAAAACCTTACACTAATTAACAACGTACTTGTGAAAACTATAAAGGCCCGTTTAAACGGTTTTAACATTTGACCAACATGCGTTCAACAAAAGTTGAACGCATGTAGGGCAAATGTTGGACGCAAAAACAAAGTTCTTCGGAGGCCTTTCTAAGGCTTAAAGGCCTTACAAAGGAAAAGTTGAATCGATATTGAACGAAAGTTTAAACCGATTTAAACTTGATTCAACACGCTTTCAACAAGCTTTCAACATGTTTTACGTTTTCAACAATGTTGGACGACCTGTTTAAACGCACCGAACATTTGTTTCAACAAAGTGTTGAATGCATGTTGAAGCAAATGTAGAAACCGTTTAAACGGGCCTTAACTTTATTTCAATTGCTAAAATCTTGTTACAATGGAATCCAAAATTCTATGTTTTTTCCATATGTCGCCAACGAGAAAATTTTAAATATAAATACAAGACAAACTATATAACAAAAATCTGTTGACTTGCATTGAAATAGGTAAGATTTATCAAGGCTAAAATATAGCAATAAGGAATTAAAGGCTGATATTGAGAAATGTAAAACAATGTACTTGCTTCACAGATACGAATCAAAGATTACTGAAAAGGGATACGTTCGTTTGTTATTTGAATTTTGTGAGTGTTGAAAAAAAGCACTTTTCGAGAACTACTGTTTTCTCTCGTCAAATGGCACAAAGTAGCACATCCATCGATGTCGATAAGGGACCAATCATTATGTAGTGCCTCGGGCACGGGGTAGCTTGCAGTGCAGGCGGATTTTGGCGGGGCGAGTGGATATTCCCATCGGTTGTTCAGGCCGCCGTCTTGAATTTGAAAAACAGTGGAGAGTTGGGGCGAGGTAAAAAGTTTACCAAGCTAGTGGGAGGGAGAGAGAAAAATTGGGGAAGGGGGAGGGGGAGAGGAAAGAAAAATCCTTTTCTACTCACCAAAACTGCCTGCACTGCAGGCTAGGCAGGGGAGGGGGAAGGGTCGATTGATCACGTGGGCATCGCACTGTTTTCAAGAGGAAAGGGAGTGGGGATCAATCGTCGCTAACAGAGTATAAGACGGGAGGGGCCTATAAAAATTGACTGCGACGAGGGGGAGTATTGGGATACTACAGAGCCCTAGGGGGATCAGGTAAATTTTATTGTGACATCCCCCCATCCCACTCCGCTGGTAATGAATTATGACCGGTCTCTTAAAGCTTGACAACTTCTAACCCCGCCAATTGAGTTAGCAGACTCATCTAAATTAATATGGAGGGTTGTTTCTCCGAGTTAGACCTTCCCACGACGTTGTTCTTATTTAGCATACGGGTACTTCTCGCCCCATGCACGGCAGAGGGCAGAGGAGATAATAGAAAATTCCCAGAAACAGTTCCTAGCGCGAACCAGCTAATATTTTCATTGAGAGGCCATGTTTTCATAGATTGTTTTCTTACAGGATGTTAACGACACTGACATTTAACGTTATTTAACATTTTGCTTAACCTTTACTTTAGTGTTGACGAAGGCATAGTTGAGATCACGAATGCATTTCCAGGACTTAAATTCCAGTATTCAACCGATGGTGAATCGTGGTAAAATGTTGAAGATGTTTCCAAATTAGGAGGAAACATTTATCTTCGAACAAGGTGAGATTTGTTGTTGGTGATGTTGCTATGACAACTGCTGGGATAATGACGAAGCCTTCAGTGGAAGGAGGAAGTATGCTAAGAGGCCTTTCGCTTCGTAGCGGCCATGTTTTAGCACGTTGGAAGACGACACCTGCGAGAAACCTGGGTTAGAATTTACAAATTCAATGTGGCGGCCATGTTTAACGTTGCGGAGGCATAGCGATTGTTTGGTCATTCTGTGGTCTACTGACAGGGTATTCGTTTCTAAAACTAGAACCAACTAACAGTGAACACAAAAGTCAGTTACCTCCTCAAAAAGTCGTTCTTTTATTTGCACTTAATGGAGAAATTAATCAACTAGTCGAAGCGCTATTACAGCCGTAACACTTACCCGTGACAGGTGGTTACGAGTTACGGGTTACGGGTTACGGGTTACGGGTTACGGGTTACGGGTCAATTGAGCACCCTACCTCTCCTCTCCTGTTTTGAATTTGAAGGTTATAGAAAAACGGCTACGTACTGTAAAACGTATTCTGATTTTCGGGAAGGATGTTGCTGGTTGTTTTTTGTTCTCTGCTGGGACATGAATTTCCCTCCAACTTTGCCACTCATTACTTCCATGGATTATGCTGAAGAGGTTGAACAAAAATATTTTATTTATGTTTTTAATGTTCTTGTTTGATGCTTGCAGTTCCGTGGATGGCCGACATCATAGCAGAGCAGTTGTGGTAAATTTTCCAAATCCCGTGAACTGTTCTTATTTTATGACTTCGCATCTTTCCTTTCTTGTCGCTGTTATTGTAATCGTAATGTTCTGGATGTGGACGTAACCGTTAAGATCAATTCTTGCCTCATCACACCCGTAGAACTATGAACTATAAACTACGAACTATGAACTATAAACTACGAACTATGAACTATAAACTACGAACTATGAACTGTGAGAAAATATATCTGGTGACAATCGACGCCAAACGATTTTTATAGACTAATTACGCCCGCTGCGTCGTTGGCATGGCATCCTCTTACATACACTATGGAGCGTTTGTATAGCAAGTTATTCGCGCCTTTGTATAATAGGAAATAAATATTATCCCAGGTGTGCCAGTGATTAATTGAGTGCTCCAAAAGAGAGAACGCTGAATGCGAGAGGGCTCGGTTTGTCATCAGGGTCCTGGGGCCCGCTTCTCAAAAGTCCCAGTAACTTAACGGGCTCGAAATAATGTTTTAAAATCAAAATTTTAAGATCAGAGAAGTTGGTCACGGTTCTGGCACTCTTACAAGTCCGTTTTGTTTCTTTAACTCGTAGTTTTACTGCAGAATATTCAAAACTTTCGAAACTCTTATCTTGAAAGAAAACAGAACGGGTCAGTTTACGGACCCGTCAAGTTACCGGTGCCTTTGAGAAATGACCCCTTGGTTCTTCAGAGTCGAGGTAACTTTACGACACGAAGTAGAAGTTTAAAATCATATTCTAAGGAACAGTAAAACGTTTACCAATATTTTCAATGTTGAAATTTTAAAACTTTCCATATCTTCATCTTGAATGAAACAAAGCATCAAAAATTATTGGTAGACTAATAATTTCGAAACAAAGTGCCGAGTAATATATATGGATTATTGAAGCGTGAGGTCAAGATGGCTGGACATTGGCCGTTCTTTCTTTGCGTTTTTATAGACCGAGACGAAGTCGAGGTCCATAAAGACGCAAAGAAATAACGAGGCCGATATTCTGCCATCTTGACCGAACAAGCTTGGTCAAAAAATATATCTTATTAGACGTTTTGTTGTGTAGTATCGCCGAGTATTTTTACGAGTTGTGCCGTATTTTGACGAGCCCGAAGGGCCCGTCAAAATACAAATAACGAGTAAAAATACTCAGCGATACTACACAACAAAACGTCCAATAAGTTATTTATTATCCAACACGCCAAACT